CTTCTGGTGAAACCGACCTTCGAATCTCTTCACCCAACACTTCTACTCGAAATGGAAGTAATCCCAATAAGCTTCACTAGTTTGCCTAGTTACTTGATTATTCTGTTAATCTATGGCACATACCAAAATAAATGTAAACTTGGTCATATTGTCAGAGCTGTAATTTCGTATAAAAGTGTATGAAGAAGAGATTCGAAGGTCGATCTCACCAGAAGAGTACGGTTCAATCCTGTTGTACTGCAGCCGTTTGGCTTTTATACTATGTTGAGATTGATGCAGTCCACGAGACCTCCATATTTTCAGGTGAAAACGGGCTGAGCTTTTGTCCGTTATATGATGGATATCATCAGAGCTGGAACTCATTCTTGCAGAATTCTCAAGTTAACCGTAGATGTACCATAATCGGCAAGCCTACTAGTTTGAGACCATCTTATCTCATGTCCAATTTTTACCATGTGTCTGGCTATTTCTGGCCGTTGGACCCAGCTTTCTTTATAAGCTTTTTGTGTTCCCCCAATCTTTGTCGAATAGGTTGGCATGTCTCACCAACATATATTTATGGGAGCTAAACTGAACCTTAGTCCTTGTGTTATCTCTGGATGGTCCTCCAGAGTTTGAATAACTCCTTGAACAGAAATATTTGTGTACACAGATACAACATCAACACTTACTAGCCTATCCTCCTCTGAAAGTGTCTGCTGATCAATCAATTTCACAATCATAAGAATTTTTGATAGAATATAAACAAAAATTGACAGTTTACCTTAGTTGTACACATAAAAAACGCTAAATTTTATGCATCATAAATAGACTTATAACCTATTCATGAGTAGCACATATTTTACCTTTAATGGCAAATTATATGAAAAAACACAGGGGCTATCGGTAGGATCTTGCCTGGCTCCCATCTTGGCGAACATTCATTTGACAAGAAGCAATACTAACCCACAAATTGTCGGTTAGATAAGTGGATGATCATTTTGTCATCTGACCTCATGATAAGGAAAGTTTAGATAGTTTCCTACTTTCCCTCAACCAGCGTGAAAGAAACATTAGGTTCACAATAGAAATGAAATAGAATAAGTCTTTACCCTTTTTGGATGTTCTCATCACTAGAGAAGAGGGTGAGTCAGGAAGGGATGTTGGCTCTGCCTAATTTTCTTCCCAACTATAGTTACAAGGTGGGTTAACCTTGCTGTCGCAACTTGGTCTTGAAATCCAGGAGACTTAGTAGAACGCACCTAGTTCGAGGTCCTTTACCATAGTAGGTATCATAAGTCCCAGCATCAGACAGTGAACTTGGTACATTCTAAAGCGTTTCGCTGGTATCGTAGTCGGCATCATCAGTGAGTGCTGCCATTCTCCGCACCAAGCTATGAACTCATCAAAGAGACAAGTGAAGTCAATCCTTCCACCAACGTTCTGTAGAAAACGGCAACACTAACAGTACTCTTTTTGCCCCGGCCTATCTATCTACTCTTTACCCTATCAACCCACTTCTATAAATCGAAGGGAGACTATTGCCATACCGGAGGCCAAACCATCTTAATGTTCATATCAGTTGCAAAATTAAGGTTGAAATTTTGAAGTCAATGATTATTAGGAGTATGAGGCTAGCGGATAGCAAAAGTTTGACTAGAGTTGGAAAGGCTGACAAATTTATTCCCGAAGCTGGAACTCATTCTTGTGAAAGAATGAATTGATGAATTTTATTGGCACCTGGGTTACGTCTCCTAGCCTAATTTGAAATGATACACATAGTACTTAGCATAGCTACATACCTAGGACTGAGTAGAATGCTTATCTGCCCACCTGCAATCCTGCTATGCATACTCAATGCTGCGTCGCTCATCAAAATTGACCTAATTTACCTCATAGTAGTCCCAAGTATATTTAGCTGGCGACATTAATAGACAAGTCGTTGAAACATTCGGTTGACTCCGGTTTTAATGCGCAATTGCGCATTTCTGAATATTTTTATTAATATCCCCCAAGTAGCATTCGCGTATACCTCCGTGGCTTCTGGGTGCCTCGTTGAGCTGATTATCAGACAAGGAAGTATCTAATCCTTCTTTGGAACTTACTTCGTGGCTTTTGATAAGCGTATGAACAGACCTGTTAGGATTCCGATTACCATGTTATTTGAATGGAACTATATTGGATTTCGATTTGGATACGGCCTACCTGACGGAGGCATCCTTACTTCCCTCTTCATCAATTCAATATGGAGTAACTCTGGTTATTTATATTCGTAGTGAACAGGATCTAAGAAGACCTAGTGAGAACTTTAATCGTTCTATATCACTTAAGGTGATGTTGGGAACTCCCCGCAATGGAATGAGCAGGTCCCACGCTCTATTGCTACTTTACTTATTGCCCCTAAGCTATTAATGCTGATACGATGCTAAGAGCTAACGGAATAGGGCTACAGATTTACATGTTCAAGCCTTCCATTTTCATTATCTTATGGAAATAAAGATTTTTTCTCAACAATTAAATTTTAGGATCTTAAAATTACCTCAATTAGTAATGCTCCTTGCTCATTTGGCATCGCGTATAATTCTTATTTACTTATTTGCCCTATTCACTGTACATCAACCCCACTTCCATTGCCCTTCTTATTCTGCTTTTGCCATATTTCTTATAAAATAATTTCTGTATTTAGTTCAAGTAGACCCGAATCTTTGACATCAGGTAACGCGCCAAATCCGCAACTCGTCTGTCCCTGTCATGAAGAGCCACTTGGTTGGATGGCCGCAAAACAGCATGCTCATACGCCTGGAAGCCTCTCGTCTAGAGCCACAACCGGCTCTTTCACTACCTCCCCGGTCATAGCTGCAGCCAGTCCTTCGTCATCTTCACCAACGGCCATCCAGTTGGGGAAAAATAGTGGGCATCATGTTGGACGTTTGGAGGAGGTTGACGGATTATTAGGCGATGAGGAGCCGCTAGGCAGGGCCGTCTCTGCAATTCAGGAGAGGGATCGGCACGCACAACCCCACTCCCATTCCCATCCCCATCTTAATCCCCAACCTCCAACCCAGGAATATTCTCAGTCTAACCAACAAATCAACTACTACCACAGGCAACAACATCAACAATCTCCACACCATCAACCAGATTCCCCGCTCAACTTTTATCCCCAGCCTATACCTCGAACGCTCACTCTCTCATCTAATCATAACCATCCACCTAACACATATCTCCGGTCCGAAGGCATGGTACAACCACTCGTGTCACAGCCATCGATTTTAGTCATAGGCCAGGCCAGCTGTGATGAGCAACTACAGCAAGAGAATAGTTTGTGTCAGCTATCTTCAGGGGTGCTAATTACCGATTTGGAAACTAAGGAAAGCGAATACGATGATGTAGCCGAGGGGTGAACTTGCCAAAATTGAGGAGCGTGTTTGTCTTGTGACCAGACCAATATTTTCCCTTATCTTCACCAAAAAATCCATAAGAATAATAGGTGGTGCCTATGAGTTGAGGAATTAAACATAGGCATTTAACAGTGTCGCAAAGGCCTTAGGCATCAAAGCCGTCTGCGGTTTATCTACCTCTGATCTCGCTGACAGATGCATCTCTTCATATCACGTCATGACCTCTGGCCGCTCAGCTCATGCAATGGTTCCAATCGGCTAAGCTCAAACGGCGTCGATGTCATCTGAGAGCCACCTAAAAATCGCAATATTATCTCGAAGATTAATGCTCTTATTCGTTGTTACTTTAATGTAGCACGAATGAATCACTAATATTCTTCGTTAGATCGCTCTTCTTCTTTAATTGAAGAAATAGGGCCACTAGGGTATTGGAACACCTCCAGATAGACGGCTTACTCCAAAACATATCCTTATCGCGCTGTATAGAGGCATACATACCATTACACACCCTTGCATATACATCTTTACGTAAGTCACTACCTGTTACTACACTTGTTTATCATTTTGCTCACCAAAATCCGCTGAGTATCCCAGTAACTTTTAGCTGGATGGTGTGTAGTTATTATTTTACAAGGATACTGGTCCGGCTATCACGTTTCCCCCTTCTATAACATCCTGTTTTTATCATAGCATGGGGACATATACTGTTTACTTAATTTTAAGGTCCCTATAATGTACATGTAAGTAATTTGACTGGATACAGCAAATTAGCAGAGCGCCAATTTTCAAAAACTGCCCACTATTTTCTTTTACGTTTTGCTTCAGTCGAGATTATAAATACGTATAGTTGTGTATGCACTCAAATTATCCAATCTATCAAGATAGATGAATTACCTTCAAAAAGTTACTATCTTCCTTTCAGCCTACTTGCAACTGTTGTATGAATCTTTGGATTTTCGTTTGGATCTACGCAATAGGAGCCAAGATAGTCTAATAGTATAAATGGCCATAGATTAAAGTATAAAGTAATCTCGGCCCTATCTATACGTGACTTTTAAGGAAGACTGAAGGCCGAATTGAATAAACACAGCTATTAGGGTAGCCCTTGTTCTGTGAGATTTTGCTATCAAAAATATTTCATCTTAAGGCCCACTCTTCAAAATAGGTTTCGGCGAAATCTAAGTGTATTAAGTAGGGAAAGACTTAAGAACTTAAGTGAAGTTATCCTTCTAGCTAATGCTATTTGGAAATAATATTCATTAAGGGATGCTATGTATATCGATACTTGGATCACACTTTGTTCGGGCATTCAGTCACAAAGGCATTTAGAAGTCGATTCCAGAATTATTTAAATAATGAAACCCGTAGCTAGCTAGCTCTGAACTAAGTTAATTACCAAGATTTGTATTAATAAGTAAAAGACAAAATAAAGAAAGCAATATTGGGTAGGCTTTGATTTTTTATGAAAGTGCATGAAGAGATTCGTAGATTTATCTCACCAGAAGACGATGGCTGATTCCCATTTTACAACAAGCGTTTGGCTTGAATATGCTTAGGTTGATGCATTCTATGAGACATCCTGCCTCGTTTCGAGTAAAAACAGACTGAGCTTTCGTCCGTCATACACTGGAAATCCTAAGAGCTGGAACTCATTCTTGTAAAAGTTCCACGTTAACATCAGGTCAGGAACTAGGACTATCTGGCTAATTGCCTTTTATATTAGTCATGCTACTTGTCTCGTGTATCTACTAACGTATATACGTAACACCGATTCTAAATCAAAGTGATCAAAAAAGCTTAATGTCAGGCTCTGATCATCAAGGCTTAATGAACCAAGAAAAAGCACTCACCGATACTTCGTTATTGAGATGAGGTGTAAGTTTGTAAGCGTCTAATTCATGTTACGAAACCACCTGCCCTACTCTCTCAGTCTAGGATCATTAAGGTTTAACAGCCCAAGGAAAGATCTGACCAGGGCTACGTAATCTCGTACGTCTGGCTTGGTTTATGAGCTTAGTCTAATATGTTAGAATAGTGCGGATGAAGTAGGAAACATCACTTAGCTGACAGGTTAAGTCGCCTTCTTTTGGATGGCGACTCGATACCTTCTCTCTCCTTCAATCTAGCAATCAAACAAGTAGTTCTTATTCAGCTATATATTACTTCTCACATTCTGCATACTCAATAGTCCATTAATATCAAGTCCCTCTTATCTTCCATTTAACAGAAGACGTACTATAATCACCAAACCTAGCCGTTTAAGACCATTATTTCTAATGTTCAGTGTCTGCCATGTGTTCGGCCACTTCTGACCGTTGGACCCAGCTTCCTTTACGAGCATTTTGTGCTCTGTTAATCTTAGTAGCATAGGCCGGTATGTCAAATCAACATAAGATTAACTATAGGAGCAACAATCTTGTAGCAGTCTGATCTCGATAATGATTCATATTTCTTTCTAAAGGATGGCATAATCGAGGGAACTGTGAAGGTTTGATTCAGCACTGTTTTTATCCGTCTTATAGTAGGGCCAACCTATGAATCTTTTCTTAATGCACTTTTATGCGAAACGAAATCCTCCCCAATAATGTTAGTTCAGAAGACTCATCGAAATTTAGTTATCCTTGGTATATACAAATATAAAATAGATCAAACGAACCACTGGACCATTTATACTTTCAATTCTGGAAAGCATACTTTTAGTGATATGATAAGTGGCCAAACCAATAATAAAACTGATCGAACAATTCTCATAAAACAAATTATTGGCTGATAATTATTTCTGATAAAGAACAGTGAATATATAATTATATATATTCATATATATAGTAAACAAAAATTAGGAGATTAATTTAATCGTCAAAAATGACAAACAATAACTAACATTTAATTAGGCCCTATATCTTATCTGAAACCGAAGGATTGCCTTAAAGCTGTAAAATTTGATTTGTGGGGAGAAGTCCTCAGCGCACAATTCTCCGGCCCCGATGAGGAAATGTCGATCACTCATCTGCCATATGACGGAGTTTGTAATCGGTCCTCAGAAAATATTCATTAAAATAAGCCAAAAAGGTGCGCAGAAAAACTTCACATAAATTAACAGTTACAACATGTAGGTAATCCTTCATTTTGTGGTAGGGCCAATTGATAGGTCCCTATCAGCCACGAAATAAAAGGTAGTTACATTAAGTCACTAAGGGATTCTTCTAAGCCCAGCTTCTG